TGCAAAGGACCCAGGCATTCAGATGCAAAAGGCTTTGCAGCAGCCCGGAAGGGGCGGGGTCTGGGAATCAACAGGGCGGAGCAAGCAGCTATGGCTGATTCTCAGCCCTGCCCCTAGGGGCTGCGCGTCTCAGTGTCCTGGTAATTGCTGCCAGCACCTCTGAGGGAAAGCCGTCCTCAAGTTCCGAGTTCTGCCTGCTGCCAGACCGTCCAGTTTCTCCCAGTATGAGTCCTGGGACCCCAGAGATTTCCCGGAACCGGAGTTCAGAGCAGTCGGGGGCTTGTGACTCCCTCCCGATTCAAAAAGACAGCCGCATCCTCACGTGCCCGCTCCTTTCCGCGCGCGCCGGAGCCTCTGTACCTCTGCACTTCACTTTCGTAGTTCCTCTGAGTCTGTGTGCTCTTCTCTTTCCTTCTAGTTGTAGAGTTTCCACTCAGCCAGCCTTCCTGTGGTTCTGGATGATGACCGTTCTCCCTTTTAGTTGTATTTTTGAAGTTGTTGTCGGAGGCAGCAATTTCCGGTGTTTTTCTATGCCGCCATCTTCGGTTCCAGATTCATTTTCTAGAACACCTTTTCCTTCACTATACTCATCTTTTCCCATCCCTTATCGAAAAGCTCAGTACAAGAAATTGCCCATCCGACCAGAAAGTAACTAAGTGAATAATGCATATTTCTTCCCAAATGTATGAACAGTTGGTTATATCAACTGGATTTGTCCTAGCAGTGCATCAGTCTTGCAGTATAGTAGAGTGGCTAAGTGACACCCTCTGGAATCAGGCTGCAGTTCAAATCCTGACTTGAATCCTGGGTCACGGTTTCCTTATTTGTAATGGTGAATGATGCCTACCTTTTATCTTAATTGAAGAAAAATAAATATACATTTCATTGTTTAAAAAAATTAAGCCCATTTTACTAAAATATATACACAATAATAGATAAATGAGGGATAAATGAGGGGATCTCATAAAGGGGAAATAGCAAAAGAAAATTCAGCTGGATGAGTACGTAAAATGTATGCTATGAGACCCATAAATTTGCTATAGAGAGGTTACAGGTTTAACTGTGACTTTTCTGGCAGCCAGTTAATAAGATAAAAATAAATCAGGTACTGAAATCTGGTAGAAACCCTTCCTAATGAGCTTCCCAAAGCATATACTGAAATATGATGAATAGCATCCTCAACAGTATCCCTGTGGTCTCTACAACAGTATGTTTCATAGAGGTGTATTTTGTAACATCCTTCAATGTAGGATGAGGGCATAATGCTAAAGGGCATTTTAGTGAAAGCAATTCAGTTACCACTTGAAACAATTTGTTTGATATATGCAGCCTTCATTTTATCTATCTGTTTATTTATTTTTCCTTTTTATTGAATTTATTGGGGTGAGACTGGTTAATTCAAGGATTAATTTGAGATTATTTAAAACAGGAAAGTCAGAGGGCTTTTATATTATGTGCTAATTCTGAGCTACTGGCTGTGGTTTCCTGGTATGCTGTGTTGAAAGGATTCTGTAAGTGTATCTGGACTTACTGGAAAGGAGTTAGGTGATTAATAGATTCAATGAATGGGGAGTATTGACTCATATAGATTAAGTATATTCCTTTCAGGTAATCCTCCATAAGTTTTTTTCTCCGTTTGGAGTTGTTGGATTTGTGAAATGCTTAGTACATTTCCTGGCCCTGAGTTAATGGATAATTAATGTTTTTCTTATGAGAAATGAAGTCTGCAGGTCAAATATGAACTTTCCTATGAATCCCTGATCTGTTTTTTTTTCCATATACACCGCCCTATAAGTATATTTCCCTTGAGAAAACAGCCATACCACTCTAATTTTATTTCCCTAGAGATATTTGAGACTTTTTATGATTTTTAAAAACTTCTTTTGTTCTCTTCTATTAGTAACCAGCTTCAGGACAGAATATGAGTCTGATTAATCCCTGTTCTTCCACAGAACCAAGCAGAGTGCTTACAAAATTAAGCACTACATTAATACTGTATTTATTTATTGAATGAAGTAATTTGAGCAACAGAAAGATGGGGAAAGATTAACTTTCCAATAGCTTTGATGAAAAAGTTATATTTAATTGATGCTTATTTCCTAATCCACCAACTTCTCTGAAGTTTTTATACCTTTGCAGATACTGTTTTCTTTACCTGGTAAAATGTTAATAAGACTCAGTCCAGCATTTCTTCCTTTGAGAAACAGTACATCTCAGGCAAGTTTGGCTATCTGTATCTCTGTATTTACAACCACCTCTTAAGCTATTCTCTGATAGCCCTTATTGCATTGCAGTCATTTAATTGTGTTTCTTTTTCCTTATCACTAAAAGTGCCTTGAATTCAGGGATGGTTTCTTATTAATTTTTTCTCCCAGCACCTAGTATACTATCAGTCATTTAATAAGGAACTCGATAAATATATGAATAAATGAGGGATGACAGAGAATGAACAAAATAATCTTCATAAAGTGAAATTTTAAGATTGATAAAAATATTTTACATTTATATAAAAAATTAACAGCAAAAAGAATATTAAGGAAAAAACAATAAAAATTATCACTTATTTATTGCTTGCCAGATACTATCATAAGTGACATATACATAGCTTATCTCATTTAATACTCACAAAACCTTCTGAGGTGTTAATTCTCTCTCTATGGGTTTGGAAACTGATGCTCAGAAATGTAAATCTGTTTACCTTGAAGTGCATGACTGACAAATGGTGTAGCTGAATATGAAACTGAGAATTTTCTAGCTCCAAAGGCCATACTTTTAACCATTATCTATATATATAAAAGCCTAAGCGACCAAACGATCGAATGACTGGTCAACTGGTCGCTATGATGTGCACTGACCACGAGGGGGCAGACGCTCAACGCAGAAGCTGCCCCCTGGTGGTCAGTGTGCTCTGACAGCGGGAGCGCCGCTTAGCTGACTGACAGGTGCCAGACGCCAGGCTCATGGCTGGCAAGTGCAGCTGCGGTGGCCCAAGCCCCTCCTGCCTCCATGGCAGTGCTACCACACAGTAGCAGTGGCAGGCGCAGTGGGGCCAGGATGAGCGTTAGCGGCGTGGCACCCGCCTAGACTTGGACTCTTCCCCGGCCGCCTGCCGCTTCGTACAGTACTACATCCCTAAGGGGATGTTGGACTGC